TGACTCACCTTCTTTTTGACGGCGGCTCAACACCCTCTCTCTCTTTCAATCTATCAATCAAGCATAAGTAGTTCAAACTCAACTTTCTACCACCGTTCCTCACATTCAAAGTATTTCCTAAACTATTAATTTTAACAGCCTCTCTTATCTTTCTTTTATCCACACGTACCATAATCAGCAAACTTACGAGTTGGAGACCATTCTACTTCATGTTCTGTCGTGCCATATATTCGCCCACTTCTGACCGTTGGATCCAGCTATCTTTGCAACCATTCTGTCTTCTATCAATCTTTGTCGAATAGCTCGGCATGCCTCACCAACATAAAATCGACCACATGAGCAAACAATCTTGTGGCAACCGGATCTTGATTATGAGCCATATTCATCTCTAAAGGATGGCATTACAGAGTTTAGTGTGAACGTTTCTTTGAATACTGTCCCACTTCTTTAGTAATTATATGGTCAAAATGAGGGAGCACCTCCAGTTCATTACTATTCTTTACCTCTTCAGGCAATCTATCAGATAAGCTAATTAATTCAACAAGTATTTCCTGAGAATGGTTTGCAACACTTGGAAGATCAAAGTTTGGTCCTCTTTCTAATAAAAAGTACTACACTATCCTCTAGATTTACAAAACATGGCTGACGGGTTAGGAGAGGCGACTGACATAACTACTCGTCGGACACATGAAAAGAAGCTTCGAAATTTAAGAATTAGAATTAAGTTGAGAAAATTTGCACCTAAGGTAAGTCGTATTAACCATGGTTGTAGCAAAATGGGTAAGGATAAGCTAATCAATTTTATTAGTATATTTTTCATATTTGAGTAAAGTTTCGAGACTACCAGTAAATCAGTAATATGAGATGTATCACCCTATTTCGTTTAAGCTAATGAAGGACCCTGGATGAGAACAACGTTTGGGAAAGCAAGGCAATGTGAAATTCAATGGAAACGTCAGCTCTAATTAAATAATTGTGGAAAAATCATACTACCAGTCCTTCATTTAGTTAAACGAAATAGGATAAATACATCTCATTTACTGATTTACTGGTAATCTCGAAACTCTACTCAAATACGAAAAATAAGTAACTTAGTCGATTGTTATAGCAAATATACGTTTGCTTCCTCGACAATTCCACCAAAGAATATGTAATGGCAAAAGGCCTAGCCTTCCTAGAAATTCACATCTGCCCTGTGACCCAAGGGCACTCGTGGCAATGTGGCCGAGTTATTAAAGTTACAAGCTCACATTCTGCACTGCCACGGTTCGACTCCTGCGGGGGGTGTTTATAAGACCGATGCGAGATCGAAACTGCAGTTCACTGGTGCCTGGATGATAACAACTTTTGGGAAAGCAAGGCAATGTGAACTTCAATGAAAACGTCAGCTCTACTTATATCATTATGGGAAAATTCTACTACCAGTCC